GTCTTTAGTTGCATCAAATGAAAGAGGAGGATCTAAGCTTTACAAATATGTGTCATTTATTAATCATGATTATGATTAAGTTATGAAAAAACATCAATAATTCTCGGTTTCGTTTTTTTTCTGGGACGCACTGTATAACTGTCTAATCCTTCAACTTGATACTGTAACAAATGAAAATGAGACATACTGGAAGGTTAAGGATCTTGTATTGAAACCATGGAAACCAATAAACATTGAAATTTGGCCAAAGGAGTGCTCTTCAGTTACGTCGATAGCTCTCATAATAGAATCTATATAATTACAAGAAATGCTAAGAAAATATACCAAGAAGATTTCATGATACTGATCATTAAACAAAATATTTTTGGGTCAATTATGGTCACCCGGGAATATCTGTTAACATCATGAATTGTTTCACATAGTACCAAAGGATTTTTTTATCGAATTACAGTTAACATTCCCGTTCTCAGTTCATTCCCCCTAATGTTTTTTTTCTTTCTTAGAAAAAGCCCTTTTTAAGACGTTTGTTTGGAGTCAGACATGTGCTTACTCAAATACTTTAATTACACAGAGTTATGGCTCTTCAAACAAGTTTACGTTGAAGGTTAGCTAGAAATGATTGTCAAAGTTCCCAGTCACCCACAATCACATCACTTTATTTGATTTATATCGACAAACGTGAATCTATTTTTGTCCATGGAACCGTTCGATGTTTAATCTAACAATGAAAAATGCATTCGGGGGAATGAACTGAGAACAGGACAGTTAATTGCAACTCGATAACACCCCTTTGGGACTTGGTGAAACCATCCATGATGCTAACAGATGTTCCCGGGTGACCATAATCGACCCCTAAAAATATTTCGTGTACTTTACAATGTCGTGACATCTTGGTATATTTTCTTAGTATTTCTTGTAATTATATAGGTTCTGTCATGTGAGCTATCGAGGTAACTGAATACCACTCCTTTGGTCAAATGTCAATGTTTGTTGGTTTCCATGGTTTCAATACAAAGATCCTTAATCTCACATTATGTCTTTCGCTAACCGTCTCATTTTCATTTGTTAGAGTATACAGTCGAAGTGCAGCTCTTTGAATCATCATTCTTTTATCTATTACATAGTTAGCATTCAAAAGCGTTCAACATAAAACGATGGTAATAAATTCAGCACTCCCGGAAACCCTATTGATACACACAACGAACGTAAACTAGAAATCAAATTATAGACAATGAACATGTAAAAGTTTTAAAATGTGCATGCTTTTACCCCTCCTCCTAGTAGATCGACGAAAGTTTGAGAAAGATTCGACAAAGGAACGAACAGTTGTATATATTTTTGTCTTCAAAATTGGATTCAACCTATGAAATAGGAGTCTCAGTGACTTCTTAGATTAAAAAATTTACAGACAAAGATATTTTTTTTCAATGATCCAAATGACCCCAAAAATAACAACTCGATTTTTCGGGAAGGCTAAAACAAATCACTAGGAGAATGAAATATATTAGCAGAGAGTAACACCCCCCCCCCCCCCCTAAGAAAGAAAAAACTCTCACGACGCCCCAGGCTTTACGACCCATGCTCCAGCCACGATTGATATGGAGTTGGTATTGTTCACTAACGGTTTTCTCAACTTCAACCCTGGACCAGAAACATCATCCTAACCCTTACCCTAACTGGGTATCTTTGACGAAATATTTTGAACCCGGAGTAATCGTTGTGTGGGATAATTATGCCGGAGAACCCTCTTTTTGTTTATCATGTTTATGTTGGGTTTCATACAGGGTTGATAGCTAACTAAACAGCAGCACTTCCTTTGTGGTTGGTATTGTTTACTAAAAAGGGAATTCTGAACTTCGACCCTGGACGAAATACCTCACCCTAACCATAACCCTAACCGGTTATCTTTGACGAGATAAATACCCGGAGCAATTGTCGCAGGAGAAAATGTCGGAAAAGAGACGTATGTTTGGAGCAAACAAATTTAGGTTAAAGGTAAGATAGAAATAATTGCCAGAGTAGCTTTTAATTTAATTCTATATTCAATTCAATTCTCATAAAACCATAAAATAATATATATACAAAAGTAACATCAAACAATCATAATATTACAATTCTGGAATTAAGAAATTGGAGACTAAAAAGGAAGTTTAAAAAACTTGTAAGTATAATAGTCCCCTGACATAAATAATAAATAACAAGATTACATGGTTGTGCACGTTACCAAAAGAATAACAATATATAAATAAGATACTACACATTAAAGATATACACCGATGAACACACACACACAAGCACACACACACATGCATGGTACATTGCAAGGTAAATCAAGGTAAAAGAAAGAGTTAAGGGAAATAAGAAGAGACCACCGTCTCTTCAATAGAACCTTAAAGGATGATATAGTTGTGAATAATGTTATTTTATCATTTAAATCATTCCAAATACGGGGACCAATATGTCTCAAAGAGTAAAGCATTCACCGGGTAAAGACCTTTGGATAATGATATTTTATACAGGAACGAGTATTATATGAATGAACAGATTCATTAAGACTAAGAATTTCACAAACACTTTTAGGTACATAATTGTGATAAATATTCATAATAGCACTTTAAATGTTATGTATATCACAAATATTGAGTGTTCTTAGGCGACAAAACAGGTGACATGAATGAGCTTGATGATGGGTGTTTGTACAAATTCTTATAGCTTTCTTTTGAAGTTTATAGAGAGGTTCTAGTTAGTTGTTTCCACACCGGCCCATGTGTTATTACAGTAAATAAGGCAAAATTAAACAATTATACAACATAAACAATACTTATTCAGCAGAAATACACTTAATTCACAAAGAACACCAATGTTTTTAGACATTTTGTTAGTTATATACAATCGATGATCCTGAAATGATAAAGTGTCATCCAAAAGGGTATCAATAAATTTAACAAAAGAGCACACGTTCAAATTTATATTGTTTATAAATATTTGTACATCATTAATATTGCAAGGATTAGTTTATTATGAAAATAACGTACACTTGTTTTGTCATAATTTATAATCAATTCATTAGTATTAAACCATTCAACAACCTTTTTTAAGTCTTTATTTACTTCTGACATTCATTTATCAAAATCATAATGAGATGCAATCAGGTTTGTGTCGTCAGCAAATAAGACAAAATGAAAAAAGATGAAGCAGAACTAAGGTAATTTATGTACATTTAAAAAAGGAGAGGACCCAGCATGGAGCCCTGTGGCACTCTATACTGGATCCTCTCTCTGCCGGAAATAAAGATGTTGTATGATGTGAATTGTCTCTGAACCATTCCCAAGCAATACCGCGTATACCGAAATGTTGTAATTTAGTGAGGAGAATATCGTGGTTAATGACATCGAAAGCTTTTGACAAATCAAGAAACAAGCCTAACGTATGAAATTTATTATCTATTTTATTGAGAATGTGATCATGAAGGTCAATTAGAGCATGTTCACTTGATGATTTTTTTCTAAAACCATATTGAGAAACAGTCAGAAGATTATTTCTATTAATATGATTAAAGAGTCTATTATATATTAATTACTCCAGTATCTTAGAAAAACAGGGGAGTTATGTTATTGGTCGATAATTAGAGAATATGTGGGGATCACCCTTTATATGGGTAAGATTTTTCCTACTCTAAAATTCTTGGGGACTATTCCTGACAAAAAGGAAAGATTATGTATAAAAACAATTGGTTTAACAATGAAATGTATAACATGTTTTATAATGTACTGACTTATTCCATCAAAATCTGTGCTCTTAGTTGAATTGAGCAATTTGACAATAATATTATTCAAAACTTCTGGTTTATTGGTAGGATGAAAAAATATTGATTTGCTACAAGTATCTCGTAAAAATAAACTAAAATTGCATTTCGGTTTCTGAATTTGTTCAGATTTTTTAGTTTTGTAGCAATACTAGAAAAATAAGAATTAAATTAATTTACAATCAATTGACGATCAGTTAACTTGTTCTTAACTTTAAAAAATAATTAGGATAACCGATATTGGCATTTTCTTGTCTTTCCAAATAAATCATTAATAACTTCCCAAGTTTTAGACATATTATTTCTATTCTTCTGTAATAAATCACACAATTTTTTTTACAGACTGTAAAATTGAGCTTTATTTATTTCTATTTTTTATATTTTTACATTGATTGCTGTCGTTTCTTTTCTGACAAAATGTTTTATATAATCTATACTTTTTATTAATCTTTTTTAACAGTAAAGGGGTTAGCCAAGGTTTTCGTGGCAGTTTTCTTTTCTTCACTTTGCGAACAACAAAGTAATGATCATACACAGTTTAAACGGTTTAAAAATGAATTATATGCTTTATCTTATATGGAAAAATGAAGATGGTCTATGACAAGGATTAATAGAGAGGTTGGTTATTTGGAAAATAGGTAGATGGACTGTTATATCACTATAGAAAATACCAGAGTGAATGTCTTTAGTGACTACATTTGTCAAGATATTATCGATCTTTCACTCCCCCTCACCTCACCCTACTCCTCTTTCTCCCCCTCTCTCTCTCTTTCTCTCACTTTCTTTCTTTCTCTCACTCTCTCTCTCTTCTTCTCTCTCTGACACCCTCTCACCTTTGTTCTCTCTCTCTCTCTCTCTCGTCTTCCCCTTCTCTATCTGTCTCTCTCCTTCTTCTATGTATGTATCTCTTTCTCTCTCTCTTTATATATATATATATATATATATATATATATGTATATATATATATATATATAATTATACATATCTATATATCTATCTCTCCCTATCTCTCTCTCTCTCTCTCTCTCTTTCATAGGATGGATCACCTCAACAGGACGGAGAAGTAGACGACACCTATATACACGTAATACAGGGAGAAGGACAAGAGAACAAATGGGACATGAGAACAAATTGGACCAAATAATAATCGTGTATTGTGGGAAAATTGTAAAAGAATATTGACTTAATCTCGCTGTAAATCGTATAGAGAAATTTAATTTCAAAAAGCACTGCACACACAGATTCCACACCACACGGCGTCAAAAGAGGGATATTTGAGATATATATATATATATATATATATATATGATATAAATATATTCGAGCTGTAATGGGATGTTTCAAGAGAAGTCCGTTTAACGTGTTGTTGCAAATGTGATCTTCTTCTATACGTGGGAATAAAAGAAACCAGAAATATTACTGCTTGTTATTATTTCTGTACAAGAACCCATATACATAATGAAAGCACTGTGATATAAATTGATAAAGGCTCTTGACTCTCACGCGAGAGGCCCCGGGTTCGATCCTTGCTCTTTGCTTAATATATTCCTGCATGGAAAACCGTTTTGCCTACATTTTCCCTATCGAAACATGCTGGCGTTAATGCAATATGATATGTGTAACGTCAAACATCTTGATCGTAAAGTCTTCCCAAATACCAAACAGTTAGGCAAAGGACAATTTCGTAATGTAATCAAATTTAATGCGCAAATCTTTGTTAAGTGCCATGGTTGCAATATATTTTATTCACCTGTTGCAAATAGTTTGATTTCAATAGTCAGAATGCGAATATCAGACATTTCATTTTCTTTCGGTAGGGCAAGCCTATAGCAACAATAAATAAATACAATTTGCATCCTAAATAATGTATTCGTTACACAAAAAGAGGACAAACTAGGCCTGATTTCATCAGACACTTTTTCAACCGTTGTGTGTATGGAATTAAGGTGTATTAAAAACATGGAACTGAAGAACTGAAAACTGTGCCAAACTATATGAAATATAAAATAGTTTATTGAAATGACTAGATAGTACAGACAGCGCATGTAATTTCGTAACCATCGATGTAGGGTCCACAATCCAAACCCCCACCCGCCAGACACCGGACTTCTGTCATGTACAACAGCGCACCATTCTGATCCCCCAGGGTACCCGCTTTAGGAACCATCTCTCGGTCCACACACACAAATTCCGATCTCTTGTGTGTGTATTTCTCTGCCATAAGATAACCAGCGTACTCTAAACGCCACTCTTGGGAAGGACATACGTTGCGGGCAGGAATCATAAGTTTGCTGGTGCGGCCAGAGGGCGCCCTGCACACTGCGCATGTGGGAGTGTGGTCATGCATTGGCTGAATGCGTGAAGGACCAGTATTGACTTGGTATTCAGAGGAGTATAATCGGGCTCGTTCCACGTGTAGGGAAGTTTCTACTTCGTCATAGATAGGCTCTTCCGGCATGCAGAGATGATTTGAGCCGCTACCAGTATGACTGTAGTATGCACCTCCAATAGTACCTGAATAAATCACAAAGCAATGTAACACAAACAAAGGTAAACCCACTTAAGTACAAATTCATCAGAATCGAAATTGAGCATGATGTGGGACCAATGACAACTACTGAAGGAAACTCCAGAGAACATTAAAGGAATACTGGGTGGAGAGTAGCAACTGAAGATTAATATCTTGGCGAAGGACATTAGTACGGGGCTGGGACTCGAACAGCGAACCATAATGATATACTGCCTGGTGACATAATCTGCGACATCTCTACAGCTCTCTACATAGCTCATTTGCCAAACCATCTGCACAGCGGGTACGTTACCGGAATGTGGATCAGATGGTTTGCGGTTCGAGTATCGTCATTAAAAGGCTTTTGGAAATACATTAATCTACATTCGGCACTGCATGTCGTCCTTGGTCTAGTAAATGGGTACCTGGTAAGAATTAATTCTTTAAAAAAATCCTTCAATGCTTCCTTGAGCTTCAGGGAAGCTTGTCTAAAGCAAGGGGAATTAAAGTACACTGTACTTGTAGGCGCCTTGCAGCATCCCCTGGGGTGGTTATTTGCGCAATATACCTATTCAAACATTAGTGAATGTTAATCTTCTCTTTGTTATTTGCTGACATTCATTATCATATTTTTTTTCTTTTCTTCAATATACTGTACAGTAATGGGTCAAACATTACAATAACGCAGAGGATTTGCTTTATTTTGTGCATTCACTTAACACCCAACCATTTTTGTGCATTTAAGTTTCAGCCAGTGAGGCTACTGTTCTGGTGTTTTGTTCGTGGTGATGAAGAATTTTTTGATGCACAACATTAGATTGTTTGTAGAATACACTAACATTGAAACAAGTACTTTGAAAATACTTTCGAAAAATTAACTCGAGGATATTTCATACCCTATTGTGTGTCCCATCATGTTTGTAATACTTTAAAGTGTTCCCACATTCCAATATGACAGACGGACAAGACTATTGAAATTGCCTGGGGTTGATTTTCAGAAAGTCCTTGCGATCATGTCAAAACCATGTTTAGCGTTTTCTTTCTATGTGATATTACCCATCTGTACCAACCTGAATAGATGAGTTCTGCATCTTCGGGACAAACATCGTTACCCCAGCGAATGTAGATGACACCAGGGAGACTTGTCATGTTACCTACTGGACGCACTACTGCATCACCGCGGGATTCAGTTGGGTTTGTTTCGTCACTTGGTGAAGTGGGGGCTTCTTGAGCTAAAATGTTAAACATTCAGAAGTTCTATTGGTATCCATAGACAAAATTAAACTTTATTCTAGAAGTTCGGAATCTACATTAAAGTTATACTCGGGGTATAAGGGATATTATCACTTGTAGTAAATTTAATTAACCCTAAAACACTGCACACACTTTTGGGTGTACTTTGCCCCATTCATGTTCTCACCATCATTTCAATGAATTATTGCATTTTGTGGTTTTCAATTTAATAAGTAGGCATTTTTGGAAGCGGCGGTTGTTATTACATAAGAATGTGAGAACAAAGCAAATACGACTGACCTCCCAACTATGCGACTCCATATTATTATTTTTAATAACATTTTATGGTATCTCTCCATTGCGTCATTGGCCAGAGAGGAAACAGGAGCTACAATTTCTGAAGTGCTTTCCAATAACTTGAATTTGCTTGCCATGCATTCTTCGGCAAGAACTATTACGATGTAGCATGTTGTGCCATATCGAGTCAGATTGATGTTGTTATATGCCTACCTTGTGGACCTGTCGGCGCATCCCGTCCATCTCTCCCGTCCCTTCCGGCAGTCCCCTGTGGCCCTAGAGGACCTCTTTGACCAGGAACACCAGCAGGACACAGAAAGCATTGACCTAAAGAAGAAAGAGCATATTTATTTTATATGAAGTTTAATGATCTGCGAGGCCTGAGTAATATGTGTGCATAATACTACAAATTAGCTCTGTCCGAAAATTATTCTCAAAGTGGATTATAATGGTCTACGTCTTAACGTTCCATTGGTACCCCCCGCCCACCTTTTAGTTGACGCATACATAATGTTTCGGGCATTGATGTCTCATATTTGCGGACTTTGACGTAGGGCTCTAGAATTTCGTTCTCATAAACCTTGTTGAATAACAAGTAATAGTAACTTTTATAAACTTCTGAATTTGTTGCATTTGATTGGCTGAGAGGTAATTTGTCATAAAATAGAAGAATCTGTTATTGATTACAAGTTTTATGAAATAGGACCCTGTTGCTCTTACCAGAATACATAGGCCATGAGTATGGTCCAAACGGGTTCTGACCCAGGCTTTGCTGCTCGGCACCAGATGGTGGGAACGATGTCGGGAAAGTCGATTGCGAGTCGAGTTCCCTTCGACGCCGTGTCTTTTCAGGTTCTCCCAGCTCAAGATCGGTCTCGACAGAGTCAGGAATGTGAATCTTGGCCATCATTGATGGATTCCTCGCAACGAGCTCGAGAGTTGAGAAGGAACGGGTGATCTCAGCAACGGATTCCTACATGAGATAAAATTAAAATACACATTCAGGTTTTAAATCACTGATAGTATACGTACCCTCGATGTTATTTTCTGTGATTAAGGCAGTGGAATGTAGGTATTAATCAAATCTGAAATGGAATTTTTTTTCCGGTGAAACATGCCTTCCAACCCAACGTCATCTGGTCGGTAGGCTGTATGGGCAATTTGGCCGAAAACATTATTATCAATGTATTGATGCCTTCTGACCGCCTTCGAGTAGTAATAGTAGATTTGGAAGATTCTAACAGTTTTTGAAAAGACGATCACTAAAAGATGGTCTGTCTAAAAGATATTCATAAAGTTACACTGTTTTTAATGAAATACTCCCTCATATCTGTTAGAAATAATATAAAAAGTTCTTTCACAAATCAGAAATCACATGAAATCATAAAGGACAACATTATAACCATCTGCAAACTAACATTCTGATCCATTGAGTCGTTTAACGAAAATGAGATATAAATTCCTTGAAGAAATTGATTTTCCATTTCCATTTTGGTATTTGAAATGTGACACGTTGCAAGTGTTTGAAAGGTTGACCCTTGTTGTTCGAGAAATGATTGGACCCACTCGTCTGACTTAGGCCCCTAACATACAAGGCGTCGCGTACCAGACGCTGTCGGACTGCGACCAGCGTCTGGCGTGGTCTTTAAGGCGCCATTAATGCAACCTAATGCAAAAATAACAGTAAAACATCGTGGTGAATTCGCTATAATCATTGCCTTCACTGGGCTGCTTAGCTGGGTGGGGTAATAGGGACTTTTAGATTTGCACAACGACAACGTGGATTGCTACGATCGACGTCCTTTTAATTCACTGCCTTGAATGGACGTCACACGTATCAGTCCACGCAAATCTAAAAATCCCTAATTACGGAATCGAATACCGCCTCGTATGCAACGGGCAATGGCGATTGGGGTGTTATTTATCCCAGAGCTTTTTTTTTTAAATACAAAGAGTGACGACAACAGAGGTCGCTTCTGATTGGTCAGTTACTTCATGGAACTTTGAATAGTTCCCTCAAATAGAGTGTGGAGGGATTTTTTTGGAGCTCAACGATTAAACCTTTGACCGCGCTTGCTTATGCGTATATGCGATTTTCATATCTGGCATAACTTTAGTGCGATTTTATACAAATTGGTCATATGCGGAATGCACAGGTGTGTACTTTTGAATACGTATACATACCTGAAGAAACAATACTTGCTTTCTAATTTCAGAGATTTTATCCTCTTCCGTCTGGGTCAGTAATTCGCCTGAATCTAGAATGTGTTCAGGGTCAAAAGCTAGATGCGAGAAGAGAGAGAGAGAATTGATTGAAATAATTGATTCAAATGATTTTATTTATCATGCAAAACATAATACAAGAACAATTATTTCACAACAAATATGCAATAAAACGATAAATATAATGGAAATAGCACGAGAAAAGAGGAACTATCTTGAAGCAGAGCTTGTTGAAGTGTTAGTTCCTCAGATGCTAATTTTACAATAAAACATGAACAAAGTATGCTTAGAAATCAATAAATAGACAAATATGTAGTTAGGAAATTCTGAATGGGGGGGGGGGGGGAATAAAACAAAGAGAGAAAGAAAAAAAAAGGAAGAAAAAATGAAAAAATGGAGGAAAATAGTAGAAGAAAAACAAAAGCTCTAGAAAAGGAAAATTTGATCAGTATAATGAGGGAGAAAGAGATTGAGAAAGAGATTGAGTCGAGAGATGCGCACGTTGAGAAAAAGAGGAGAGAGATCCAGAAAGTTAGGTAGAGGCAGAGAGAGAGAGAGGTGGACAAGTTGAGAAAAAGATGAGAGAGAGATCTAGCTATAGTAAGATACAGGCAGAGAGAGCGAGAGAGAGAGAGTGGGAATAAGAGAGAGAGAGAGAGAAGGAAAGATAAAAGAGAGAGAAAGATAGGGAAAATGGGGGTTCACGCATAGAGAAAGTGAGAGATAGAGACAGTTGGATAAATGCAGAGAAAGGGAGAGGGGGAGAGAGAAAAAGAGAGAATACAAACTATTTTGGGTTATAAAATATTTACATTTTAGGGAGAAAGTAAATAATATGTTGTAACATTTTGATCTAAATCTTATTTACCTTGTACTTGGTACAATGTGTGCACTACCTTCAATATCATAAATATAATATTTGTTCAACCGTATTCCTTATTAAAAAATAAAATAAGGAAGAAAAGGTATTAACGAAAATTACAAAAAATAACGTAAGTTTACCTTAATATAACATCGGAGTATGTATATATTTAAGTAGGTGGGTCGTCAGTTTCCATGTGCAGAAGGTCATAGTTTGCTGACATCCAGACTTGATGGAAATGGGTATACAAGTCTGCACACATCATACTAGTCCAGAATCAGGCCTATTTAATTTTGATCTTCACCACACCAACGCTACCTCTCCCTACTTACTTGCTACCAGCCGATGATGGCGTGATCATTAAATTAGGACGCCCCGCGATTAGAAAAAAAAAACGGTTCTCAGGCTGTGCTGGTGAGCATAGTTATGAGTTTGTTGATAACGCCATCTTCGACGGCTTGAATCAAATGTGTAGGGCTAGGGAAATTATAAAGGACCGTGTAGATTCTGGACTAACATCATACTCGCAGTCCACTCAACAAATTACCCCCTCGTCTCTCGGAGAGTCTTCGTATGGGCCAAATGTCAGATAAGGACTTTACCATGAAATATGGGGAAAAGACAGAGCATCATAAAGCTTGTTGGTCAAAACTGAAATTAGCTAATCCCGGTGATTGACAACACCTATTATTGGGTAAACACTTGAACGGTGTCAAATTCATCGTGAGACTCCACTTTTATGTGTCTATCATACCAACTATATCAATTATACATATCAGCTAACTAGAATATAATTATTACAAAACTTATTATACTTGCACATCCTGTCCCTGGTTTAAACTAGAAACTTGCAATTAGCCAATCGCAACCAATGCCTTTGGTTTGAATCATACACCAGACAATGCTCTTGCGGATCAAAGTTATCGATTAAATCAATGTTATTATTTCTTGCCAAGATGACGTCGGTTGGAAAATTAGTCCCCATAACACTACTCTAAATGTATCTCAATGATGTTTAATATTTAGGAGTATATCTACCCCCATGTCGGCACTTTTGTACAAGACATCAACCGTATAATTTTTACAGTGATGAGTACCATAATGATATATAAATAAATCCTGCCTAGAAACCTCACCTTCATCTTGCGTTCCTTCCTTTGAAACAGCAACGGCTTGGGTGACTCCAACAAGACACAGACATGAAAATAGAACTAGAGTGATGACAAAGAACGACTTCATCTTGAACAGTGTGTTGATAGTTTCTGCAATCACTTTGATGAGAAGATGAATGCGAAGTGTGCACGGAACGGGTAGGCTTCAGTATTTATACCACTTAAGCCCCTCCCACTCTTTGCCAAATTTGGTTCCAATTAAGGAGGGGCCCGAGCTAGTATGGCACAACCCTTCGTGAACTCAAGGAAACCTCCCTGTATAGCTTGGCATTGACTCGTGTTACCTCGCCGAAAGGCTAATAATAATAATAATAACAATTATATTAATAATAATGATATTCATAATAATAACAATAATAATAATAATGAATGCAGAGACACATCTCTGCTGAATGCTAGAGAGCCTGAAAAGAGATAAAATTCGGTCATAATGTTTGTGATAACAACAAAAGGTCCCCTATTTGATAAGCATAGTAGCATACACATGCTTTAGCGGTCACGCAAAACACACATTGTCAAATTATTATTCAATAAAATCTGAGAATGTATACTATTATCTAGATCTATTATTTTTAAATTATTTTTAAAATAATTCCATGAATTGGGGTAAAACAAAGATATTCCACCTATATGAGCGACAGTGTATATCCAAATATTAGTAAAAGACCAGTATTATATTCTACTCGTTATGCTCTAAACAGTCCATTATTTAATCCAAAATGTAAAACAGATTTTAAAATGAAAACCTTCTCAGGGGCTAAATTGTATAATACGTTACCCTGAAATATTCAAAACTATAAGTCTTTGCAAAGTCTTCAACAGAGTATGTTCAAACATTTCAGTTTCTCTTGTAAACATCTTTTTAATACAGAAATAGTATAACTATGTATATATATATATATATATATATACATCTTGGATGGTGCAGGAAAGACACAATCGACTGTGCATAGGGAAATAAATATCATCATTTAGTGTTTCCTTCACAATAATATTTTGAAAATAAAATTGTGATGTTTAGATAATGAAATATATGCTTGATCATTTTATTTGACTCTTCAAACGCAGGGCTTTATCTTCTTTACAAAGAAAAAACTATGTGTATATACTAAAAACAAGGTGTAGCTGGAGAATTTCGCATCAGTTATAGCTTAGACTAGTTTTAAATGTTTTAATATTACAATCGATACGTTACAACACTAAAGAAATTTGATTAAAAAAAAAAAAATCCTTCATGTGTTATATGAAATATTATAGAAGGATATAGCGGTAAAATTTCAATAGCTAATCCCTCAGGTTAGTTTGAAAATGTTACAATATTTTAATCGACATACAAAAGAACCAAGAAATGGGATAGATTTATTATTTCCCAAAGTGTCATATTTTCCAGAGCACAGTCATTAACAGCAGGGATGTTATATATTCGTAAAACGTAAACATCGAAGCATTACACAACCAAGAAATGGGATATTTATTTCCTCTTTGTAACATTAAAGGTCATGTACTGTTTTGGTAAGCCCTGACAATTGTACATCAAAATTATTTGATTTAGAAAATGGGTAGGAAGATAGTCATGCTAAGCTAGCTGCTGTGAATTTGTTTTCGTGCTCAAGTGACGTAGTAAACAAATGAAAGGTAGAAAATAATTTAGATACCATCCTGGGATGTAAATTCTAACAACGGCTTCCTGTACTGCACACGTGTAAATACTTTGTATGCATGGGGTACAGTCCAATTTTATTTTTTAAAGAAAAGAAAAGAATTAAAACAGGGGAGGGGGTTTCTCCAAAACAAACTCATTAAAAAAAATGAAGGAGGGAGATTTAACCCCACCCCCCCCCCTGCGTACGCGCCTGTATATGTATTTATACATATATATATATATATATATATATATATATATATATCTTGGATTGTGCAGGAACGACACAATCGACTGTGCATAGGGAAATAAATATCATCATTTGGCGTTTCCTTCACAATAATATTTTGAAAATAAAATTGTGATGTTTAGATAATAAAATATATGTTCTTGATCATTTTATTTTACTCTGACAATGTTCGTTATCTTCAAATGCAGGGCTTTATCTTCTTAACAATAGAAAACTATGTGTATGTACTAAAAACAAGCTATAGCTGGAGAATTTCGCATCAGTTATAGCTTAGACTAGTTTTAAATGTTTTAATATTACAATCGATATGTTACAACACTAAAGAAATGGGATTTCTAAATTTTCCTTCCTGTTTCATATGAAATATTATAGAAGGATATAGCGGTAAAATTTCAATAGCTAATCGCTCAGGTTAGTTTGAAAATGTTACAATATTTTAATCGACATACAAAAGAACCAAGAAATGGGATAGATTTATTATTTCCCAAAGTGTCATATTTTCCAGAGCACAGTCATTAACAGCAGGGATGTTATATTCGTAAAACGTAAACATCGAAGCATTACACAACCAAGAAATGGGATATATTATTTCCTCTTTGTAACATTAAAGGTCATGTACTGTTTTGGTAAGCCCTGACAATTGTACATCAAAATTATTTGATTTAGATAATGGGTAGGAAGATAGTCATGCTAAGCTAGCTGCTGTGAATTTGTTTTCGTGCTCAAGTGACGTAGTAAACAAATGAAAGGTAGAAAATAATTTAGATACCATCCTGGGATGTAAATTCTAACAACGGCTTCCTGTACTGCACACGTGTAAATACTTTGTATGCATGGGGTACAGTCCAATTTTATTTTTTAAAGAAAAGAAAAAAATTAAAAAAAGGGGAGGGGGTTCCTCCAAAACAAACTCATTAAAAAAATGAAGGAGGGAGATTTAACCCCAACCCCCCCCCCCCCCTGCGTACGCGCCTGTATATGTATATATATATATCTTGGATTGTGCAGGAACGACACAATCGACTGTGCATAGGGAAATAAATATCATCATTTGGCGTTTCCTTCACAATAATATTTTGAAAATAAAATTGTGATGTTTAGATAATAAAATATATGTTCTTGATCATTTTATTTTACTCTGACCATGTTCGTTATCTTCAAATGCAGGGCTTTATCTTCTTAACAATAGAAAACTATGTGTATGTACTAAAAACAAGCTATAGCTGGAGAATTTCGCATCAGTTATAGCTTAGACTAGTTTTAAATGTTTTAATATTACAATCGATATGTTACAACACTAAAGAAATGGGATTTCTAAATTTTCCTTCCTGTGTTATATGAAATATTATAGAAGGATATAGCGGTAAAATTTCAATAAATTATCGCTCAGGATACTTTAAAAATGTTACAATATTAAAATCGACATACAAAAGAACCAAGAAATGAGATAGGTTTATTATTTCCCAAAGTGTCATATTTTCCAGAGCACAGTCATTAACAGCAGGGATGTTATATATTCGTAAAACGTAAACATCGAAGCATTACACAACCAAGAAATGGGATATATTATTTCCTCTTTGTAACATTAAAGGTCATGTACTGTTTTGGTAAGCCCTGACAATTGTACATCAAAATTATTTGATTTAGATAATGGGTAGGAAGATAGTCATGCTAAGCTAGCTGTTGTGAATTTGTTTTCGTGCTCAAGTGACGTAGTAAACAAATGAAAGGTAGAAAATAATTTAGATACCATCCTGGGATGTAAATTCTAACAACGGCTTCCTGTACTGCACACGTGTAAATACTTTGTATGCATGGGGTACAGTCCAATTTTATTTTTTAAAGAAAAGAAAAAAATTAAAAAAAGGGGAGGGGGTTCCTCCAAAACAAACTCATTAAAAAAATGAAGGAGGGAGATTTAACCCCAACCCCCCCCCCCCCCCCTGCGTACGCGCCTGTATATGTATATATATATATCTTGGATTGTGCAGGAACGACACAATCGACTGTGCATAGGGAAATAAATATCATCATTTGGCGTTTCCTTCACAATAATATTTTGAAAATAAAATTGTGATGTTTAGATAATAAAATATATGTTCTTGATCATTTTATTTTACTCTGACCATGTTCGTTATCTTCAAATGCAGGGCTTTATCTTCTTAACAATAGAAAACTATGTGTATGTACTAAAAACAAGCTATAGCTGGAGAATTTCGCATCAGTTATAGCTTAGACTAGTTTTAAATGTTTTAATATTACAATCGATATGTTACAACACTAAAGAAATGGGATTTCTAAATTTTCCTTCCTGTGTTATATGAGATATTATAGAAGGATATAGCGGTAAAATTTCAATAAATTATCGCTCAGGATACTTTAAAAATGTTACAATATTAAAATCGACATACAAAAGAACCAAGAAATGAGATAGGTTTATTATTTCCCAAAGTGTCATATTTTCCAGAGCACAGTCATTAACAGCAGGGATGTTATATATTCGTAAAACGTAAACATCGAAGCATTACACAACCAAGAAATGGGATATATTATTTCCTCTTTGTAACATTAAAGGTCATGTACTGTTTTGGTAAGCTCTGACAATTGTACATCAAATTTATTTGATTTAGATAATGGGTAGGAAGATAGTAATGCTAAGCTAGCTGTTGTGAATTTGTTTTCGTGCTCAAGTGACGTAGTAAACAAATGAAAGGTAGAAAATAATTTAGATACCATCCTGGGATGTAAATTCTAACAACGGCTTCCTGTACTGCACACGTGTAAAACCTATGTATGCATGGGCTACAGTCTACACAATCGTGGAATCTGGCGTTTCTTGCAGATATTCACACTGTACAGCTCACCTGAAATCATGAAAAGAATACCGAATGATCTCGTACATTTATTGTTTGATAAAATGCTAACAACTTGGGACTATATATTTAACATGTTTCTTTCCAATTTCCTAGTTGCTACCAAAGCCGTACATAAGCTTTAAACAAGGAAGACTCTTTCGATCTCTCAGACCGACCACGGCGGGCATTCCAGGGTAGCGGACATCCTAACCACCGTACAAACATGGAGAAATCATCATCAAGATTGAATTAAAGAAAAGTGGAGTTTTGGCAATGGTGAAAAAAAACATTGAAACAGTTCCTCTTCAAAATAACACTTATTGTTAAGTAGTACAAATAAATGACTCTTGCTAAAGGAATTTGAACGAAATTGTG